TATGTACAGTATATTAATTTAAACTAAATGCTTAATTATTAAACTAAAATTGCTCATGTAATGGATTTAGGGTATAATTATTATATGAATAACACATACATCATATAGTAATTCATATATCATAAGCAATTATAATAAATAATCATCACTAAAAGCCAGACAATTTGTCTTTAAAATCTTTTGCTTTGTACTGACCTTTAATTTGGAGAACCGGGGGAGTGACTTTACTGTGTCAGGAATGCGTTACTTTGCTCACTGCTGATTGGTCCGGTTTGAGATCTCTTATCCAGAACACAATCTGCACCGAAGCCATGGAGCATAAGTTACTAATGGTGATGAACACCTCTAAAAGTCAAGCCACTTGTATGGTGCCTTAAACCATGGAAGTGGTTTGGCGCAAACTAAACTGAAACTTACCTGACTAGCCAGCTAAACTGGCTTCATGGTAAAGGCCCCAGATGTTATGACACTTTTTAGTAAGATTTTAGAAATCGGAAACAAGTGACTAACACAATGTTGGTTTAGACATACACATGAGAGTTTTGTGTGTGTTGAGTGTTTTCAGGTGTGATTTTAGTAACTTGCAGAGTTAGAGATACGAGATGTCAGTCAGGTTTTTAGCTGCAGTTACTGCGTTCCTCCGGAGCTGCTCCCGCCAGTTTTGTGGTCTGCGCGTGACTCAAACTGTTCGCTCCTCTTCTCAAGTATAAGTAAAAGCTGCTGTCGGATCTCTTTAAAACGGTCTTACCTGTTGTGTTGCTGACGCTTATGGGGATACTCCTGATACTATTTACTTTGATATTGAAGCCTGATTTGTTCACGTTTGTGTAACTGCATGAACCAATGGCGCTTTAACCCTCCAAAAGGGGAGTAGCCGACAGATATAGAAGTCGGCTCTAAGCGCCATTTCTTCAGAATTTTTTCTCCTTCAATGACAAAGATCATCTCCTCTCTGTCTCTGCAAGCAAGAAGCAAATTTGCAAAGTGTTTCACTGCAGCACAGAAGTCGTCGCAGGTCATGCGCCACTTCCTGCCAAAGCGCTTCAGCCCCATAGAATGAGGTTACTCGCTCCAGTTCGCATGCAGGCTACCTCGCTTCAGAGGCATTATTCAAACTTCAGTACAAGACAACAATGCTCACGTTCTCCGGTCTGAAGTGCAAACTCTGCTTGCAGAAGGAACCTTCCTCTAGCGAACAGCAAGTCAGGCTTCTACAGCCGCTACTTCCTTGTTCCCAAGAAAAATGGGACGTTACAAAGTGCACGGCTGCAGCTCTTTCCCCTCTGAGACAGATGGGAATCTACATTATTAATTACCTAGACGATTGGCTGGTCTTAGCCAGATCGGAACAGGAACAGGAACTCATCGATCACAGGTCTCTGCTGCTCAGCCACCTGGAGTGGCTTGGGCTAATAAATATTTTAGCCAAGAGCTCTCTATCTCCAAGCGAGTAGTCTTCCCTGGGACAATTATCGATTCTGCCCAAATGCGGGAATGAATTACGTCAGAATGCTGCCTGACTGTTCAGTGGCTAGCGGCGTCATTCAAACTGGGGACCTCATGTCCCCTCTGGACTTTCCAGAGTATGCCCGGCCCTTATGTTGGCCACTTCCTCTCTGATTTGACTGGGCCTGCTTCACATCCGGCCCCTCCACTTTTGGCTCAAAGCCTATGTCCCGTGACACCTGGGACATTTTTATCTCAAGGTAACCCACCGCTGCATCAGAGCAGTGGCCCCTTGGAAAACTCCTCACCTGTTTCAATCAGGCATCCCGTTGGGACTGACCTCCATGAGGAAGGTGGTCACGACAGATGCCTCTAACTCGGGTTGGGGAGCTCTGTACGACGGCAGACCAGCGTTTGGCTCCTGGTCAAACCTGGAGCAACGCTTACACATCAACTGCCTCAAGGGTTTTTCTAGCCCTAAAAACCTTCCGGCCTACGGGGGCACCACGTCCAGGTCCATTCAAACAACATGACTGTGGTAGCCTTTATCAATCACCAAGCAGCCTTGGATGAGTCCTCTCGCTGAGAGCAGTTCATGTGCTGGGCAGACTGAACCAAGGGGCAGACATGCTGTCCAGGTATAATGTGGCTCCAGGAGAATGGAGACTACATCCCCAAACAGTTCAAATGATCTGATCTGTCTTTGGCTTGGCAGAGGTGGACTGCCCAATTTATTTTTCGAAGCAGTGAGATGCCTTGGCCCACGATTGGCCCAGTGCCCTCTTGTATGCATTCCCCCCGGTTGGAGGAATCAGATGTGGTTCCCAGAGTTGATTCAGCTGCTATCGGCAGCCACTTGGCCGATACCACTGAGGAAGGACCTTCTCTCGCAAGCGAAGGGCATGATTTGGCTTCCCTGGCCAGAGCTGTTGAGCCACCATCGTGCAACGTATCCTTCGTGCTAACCTTTTTACAAGAGCTGCTGGACAAGGGGCACACCCCTTCCACACTCAAACTATATGTGGCAGTCATCACGGCGAATCATTCACTCGTGGGTGGCCTGTCAGTTGTTAGAAACGACCTAGTTGTTAAGTTTCTGAGGGGAGCTCGGAGATTGAATCCGCCTCGCCCTCATACTGTGCTGACTTTGGACTTATTTATAGTCCTCAGGGCAAAAAGGGGCCCTAACTTTGAGTCGCTCCAGTGATGTTCAGTGACGCTCCAATCAGTGATCAGCAGAGTTTACACATCACGTTTTGGTAATGGTACGGTTCACTTGGAACCTCAGCCGAGGTGGTACTAAAAAAAGTACCAGGTACTGTACCCAGTGGAAAACCCCCCGGAAGTGAACCGTACCATGCAGTGGAAAAGCGCCATTAGAGTGTATGTTGAGCGCTCTGGCCCATTTAGGCACTCACAGCAGCTCTTTGTATGCTTTGGAGGCCGTTCTAAAAGGCTGCCGGTTACAAAGCAGAGACTCACTGGATAGTTGAGGCTTACATCTTAGCAGGCTTGCAGTGTCCTATAGGTGTGTGAGCCCACTCCATCAGAGGAATGGCCTCCTCCGGGGTGTGGAACAGCGGGATTTCTATTGGTGATATTTGTGCAGACCATTTGTGCTGGTCGTCGCAGTCTACCTTCCCTAGATTTTATAACTTGGACGTGGCTTCGTTCTGCACTTGCTTTTAGCACAGCGCTATTGGATGTGTTCCCCATAAGCGTCAGCGACACAGTGGTCTCCCGACCATTCGAAAGAGAATGCTTCGGATACTAATGAGATAAAGGAATGAGTGTTGCGTAAGCTGCCGTGCTATAAAGCTGTACGCGAATCGATGACTGTCCCTTCATTTGAAAGATTCTGACTAAATGGCACGTAGAGCCGACTTATATAGCAGTCGGCTCCTCCCCTTTTGGCACGTTGAAGCGCCATTGGTTCATGCAGTTACACGAATGTGAGCAAATCATGCTTCAGTATCAGAGTAAACAGGAGTTTCCCCATAAGTGTCAGCGATGTAATGCTCGTTCCCTTATCTCAGGGAACCGAGGATACATTAGTGACCGGAGCGATAATTAAGATTTGACAGATAAAACGGTTCCTCGAGTGGACTCCTGTGTCACCTCTATGATATAACTTTCCAAAGTAATAGATGTCGCCATGTTTATATTTTTATATAATTGTCACTATTGTTGCAGATGATATTCACGCCTAGTGTGTGAGCATGGCGTGAATTACACGGATTGTATAATTTCTTTATTCTTTCTTTCTTTTAGTTCCTCAAAAAGATTGGAAAGCCCTGGTTTAGGACAAAAAAAAAATCTACATTAAAAAATATCTATATTAACTTGTGGCACCTGGTAAGGACACAATTATTACTATATGCCAATTAGAAGCAAGTATATCAAGAGAATAGCAATCAAACATACCTTCAGAGATGCCAAAAATAGGTATTTTAAACGTTAGAACATACTGCATCAGTTTAATACAGTTAGCTTGAATTTAATTGTTTTATTACTATCATTGATCATAATCTTTGCACAAAAAGAAGAAGAAAAAAACATTTGGTGTATTTCAATGCGAACCCCCCTAACCCAAAGTGTCTGACACAAATAATAAAATTACAGCAACAAAAAAACTTGTGAATAAAAATAATCAACCCTGAAGATAAACAAACAATACTTAAGATAATTGGAACCCCAGCACCTTGAACAAATTATCATTTGTGAGAACAGCAAAGTACATGACAAAAAAAGATAATCATTATTTTCTATGAAGATATAAAACACACATGTGCACAGCTGTCCCCCAAACTGGTGACATACTTTTTAAGGAGATCTGATCCTAACCCCCTTCCTCTTTACACAACAACAGAGGTGACAGTGCACCTGATGTCAACTAGAGGATGCATGCAAGCATGTACAGCTCAGCAGAAATGGATGGAAACACACTGACTCTCTAGCTCATAGTGAGTGTACCTTTTTGCTCTCTCTTTTATGCAGAAAATTCTGCAGGTTGATTCCCGTCTGCTCAAACTACTGATCTGCTTGTGCGAGAATGACATCCAAACTGATTTCAATAGATGAAAATGATAATGCCAACAAAATATTGGAATTAACAGAACGCCAATATTTGACTCTTCATGGCAGGTACTTTTTGTCTCAAGGCTACGTATTAATAGTCTCTGCATTGAATATGAAACTAAGCAAGCCTTTTGGTTATTCAGATACGACACTCCATCTCTCATACACACATACACATTCAATCACGACACATTTTCATAAAGAGTGTACCATCAAATGCGTAACACCAAAAAGCCACCCGCAGACGATACTGAGGTGGAAAGTTCTTGGCTTGAACCATGAAAGGTGTTTGATGCAAAGAACAACTCGACATCAGTCCTTTAGTCATGAAAATGGCATGGGAATGATTAGTAGAATGGATTGAGTCCTTTTAATGTCTTTTCCAGTGACTTTTTTTTTTTTGTTTAAGTGTGAGGAGAGTACTTGCTGGCCCATAATCCTTTGCAACAAAGTGGGGTGAGAGTGTGAAAGGTTCAGTGGGAGTCATGTGGTGCTTTTTCAGACATTCTTTTTACAAAGGCATAGCACGATCAATAACACGAGACCACAAATAAAATAAAATAAAAATAATTTGTTTTTCCTAGGAATAATATTAAAACATAATCATTGGTAAATACAACAATGAAACACTTAATTTCTATAAGAAAATAAAAAGGCAACAGAAATTCACCCATTCCAGTGCAGCAAATCTAAACCCAGCCGATTAAGAATCACCTTAACCTAGAATTTACAGTTTTCTCAATATTGATCAAGTTCTGGCCCTTACTGAACAATGGTGAGGTGTAACCCTGTCGATGGAATAAGAGGAAGAAATAAACAGAGAGAGAGAGAGAGAGAGAGAGAGAGAGTGTCTCTCTTAAGGGGGCACAAACATCAGTCCCAAACTGCCCACCTCCACCCTGTGAATACTTTAGTTTCTCACGTCAATGGCCACCCCTCTTTCAAGTTTGGCGTTTTAAGCTCTGTCCGTTTCAATAGGCAATAGGTGCATTTGTGTGTGAGACTGTGAGTGTACGAAATTAGTTCAAAATTAATTTTCAGCAGAAACAAACCATGTTGCGAACTTGTCGCCTCTCTGAATTGAACATATTCAGGACAATGAACCAAGAACCTGCAGAGTTTACTCTTCCAAAACTCCTCAATGAGCAGGAATGTGCTATTGTTCCCCCCGTTTGTATGAATCTGATCTTTTATCTCTCTCTATACCTACCCATACCAGCAGGTTGTGTTTGAGCAATACGATCCTCACTCATCCCTGTTCAGAGACTCTTTAATATGCTACTTTTCACTTGTATTTTCTCATCTCTTTCTCCTCTCACAGTTTCAGTTCATTGGCGATTTTGGAGGCGATGTTTTTGAAGGCAATAGACGTCCCAGATATCCTCTTGAAGCGCACACCATTAAGTGAGAGGCGGGGCAGCTTGCACACCTCCATTTCCCATTGGACGAAGTCGTCACGGGCGGGGTTACCGGCCATGCACAGCAGCATGTAGAGCTCGCGCAGCTCGTACTCGCAGCTGTTCGCGTCGAGAACCTTCCGAATCTCCTTCATCATCTCACCGGGCTCCATGGAAGACGTGGTCTTCATGCTCCAGGTGAAGCGGAGGGAGCGAGGCTTCGCCTGGTCTTTAAGCGAGGACACGGGAGCGGCTGGAGGAGTACCGCCCCCCGGGGAGGAGGAAGAGTCTTTGTTGTCGTCTTCCAGCCCTACGCTGGTCTTCTCCGACTTCTCTGCACTGCTGAGCATAGATCTGTAGAGACAGGGATGGAGAGAGAAGGATGGAGGTGGGGGAGATTGAGAGAATGTCAGTAGGGGGTGAATAAGGACAGAAAGGAAGGAACGAGAGAACAAAGAGGATGTAGGAAGGTGCGTGGGAGAAAAGTGAGAAATCGTTGAGAGACAAAAAGGAGGGTTGAGGGAAATTGAGGGTATTGAAGAAAGAGAGAGAAAGGATGAGGCAGTGGACATGGTTGGAGAGAGACATACGGCAATAAACAACTGGAAACGTTGCAGAGGAAAGCATGCATGCATCTGTTCATGTGCAAAATGATGTGGCGCAAACACATCGAACAGTGAAAGGCTTCTGCTTCAAGTGAACACCTTTCATTTAGGCAGTCTAGTATCTGCCGTGCTAAGGATGTGAAGTCACACCTCACATGCTTAAAGTAGAAATTGGAAGTTTTATTTACTCTCGAGTGAATATGACAGTTGAGGGAAGCTCACTCTGAGCCTTTAAGAAGCTCTAAATCTCCCTCTCATATTTTTATCCCGAAGAAGACTAAATATGATTTGGTTTGTTCAAATTATTATCAAACTTAATGTTGCTCAGTGACAAAAGCAGAATTGGGTTCAGCTGGGTAATTGGGCAGTATGCTAGTCAAAATCAAGAATGCTTAAAGCTGCCTTTAAGTTCTGCTGGGAATTCTGCCGTGTGATTTTATTTGGTAAAAACGATGCTTTGGTCAATTTTATATTTCAGGAAGATTTTTACTACAACAAAATGAAGAATGCACATTAGGTGTTTAATTGATAGCAGCACAACTGTTTTACATTGATAATAAGAAACTGTACTGATATTTCACACTATTACTGTTTTTAACCATATTTTTGATCAAATAAATAGTCTTGGTGAACATTAGAAACGTATCAAAAAAACTTACCGACTCCAAACTTTCGAACAGTAGTGTATGTACTTCAAAACTGATGTGCTTTTATGTAGAGTATTTTCTGTCAAACTGCATTACTATTCTTCATCTGCAGTACCCAAAATGCCTACAAACCTAATTGTGCCATAAAACCCCATATATCATTGATTGTATCAGGATTCTTTAACTGAAACAAAGTCAGGAAAACCCACCTGTAGTTATATTATTATGGTGGTGCCTATGCATGCTAAACTCATAAACATGATCGTATGACTTGAAGGCAGCATTACATTGCTATGATTTGCAATATTTGACTGAAATACAATATTAGTACGTCTTTTGGTTCCTGTACATGGTGATGCTCACAGTATCTGAGACAAAGTGCAAGTCCAAATTGAGAAGTAGTGCAGATGTGTTCACAGAATTAAAGATTTGATGATTATAAGCGGCCCCTAGTCAGATAACACAAGCAGAAAACTTTCAACTGTGTATGCGTTTGCCATGTAGAAACAGAGAGACAGGCAGTAATCAGAAATTTATTCATTGTAAACACAAACTTAAAAAACAAATTATGAATCAACTAAACACACACACACACTATCATCCACACCAATTAAATCCCACTGGGTAACTACTAATATTTGTTAAAAACCAATTATCAACCATTTAAAAGCCCCTTTGCTGCCCAATTACACCTCCTAAAGATCTACTGATTAGGTCTGATGAAGAAATCCTTATGTTTTGTTCTCACCTGATCCCCTCCTCTTGACCCTCTCCCTCATAGGGGCTCCTCGAAAAAAATTCAAGAGTTTAGTCTTAGTCTGAGTTCTAGCTTAACTCATTCAGTACAGAGATCAGGAAGGGGAAGGACTGTCTAGCACCACATGAGATTATGAAATCATTTACCCCTCCAGAACCATCACATTCCACTGATTCACTTGTTCATTCCTATTTTACAACTAATTTCAATTCTATTTATGTAGTTTATCATCAGTAGCCTCCTGCCCACAAAAGAATCACAGCAGTGATGATCTACATTCAGTACAAAAGCATAGTATCCTGTGTGATATCACTTTGATATATTATTATTTTTCACAAAAAAAAATACAGTTACTGAGCCGATCTACTGTATGCAACTGGAACTGTGGATGTGTAATGCCAATGAACAGATGAATCAGACAGACTGCTTCAGTAACATGAAGTGGGGTGGAATGATGTAGGTCTGTCCAAGATCTCTAAAGGATTCTACAGAGCCCCATCACCATGGTAACTACTCACATCCAACAGTCACCTGCCCCTATAGTCTGTCCGGCAGAGCACACAAGCATCCTGAACACGCCACCAGACACACAAACAGACAAACAGGCCCTTAGCAAACTGACAATACTGTCAGAGCCCTTCTGCTAAGAGTCATAAGAAAAAAGCACACAGAGCACAGAAACACACCAACTCAGTCACGTGGACAGACAGTGAGACAATGAAAGAAACAGCTCAAGACTTTCTTAGCGCATCATGATAAATGGTTAAAAACGAGCAAAGCAGCATTTATGTTGTTTAAAGCACTGAAATGAACCATTAAATTTGACGAATCCTGCAAAAAACAATTGGTCACCAACAGGTATGAATCACAAAATACAGGCTTCAGGTTTGACCACCAGAGGGCGCAAAGACATATTTCCTTCAATAAACTGCTCGCTTACGCCCTCTGTTGGTCTCTAAAACGATATAAGCGCCTCACATCACTTTAAGTTACTAAAACATGAATAGCTTATCAACATTATCATGTCAATGGAAGAAAATGTCTTTGTTAATTAAAACTCCATGTTTTGTGCAAGTGGCCCAAGTGGTTAGTGACTTCAGACAGATGGTGACGTCCATTCACCAGGTGCCTGTGTGTGAGTGAGTCATCAGTCAAACAGATTCTGACAATGCCGCATAAATAGAGAGAGCGAGAGAGAGAGAGAGAGAGAGAGAGAGAGAGAGAGAGAGAGAGAGAGAGAGAGAGAGAGAGAGAGAGAGAGAGAGAGAGAGAGAGAGAGAGGAAGAGAGAGAGAGAGAGGGCGAGAGAGGGTGTGTGTTAGCAATACTGTGGCTTTCTTAATAAGGGCATGTCTGGAATGTCAGCCCTTCTCTCTCTGTAGGTCAAGTGCGATGGGGAAAGTTCGGTTTTAGGTGTTTGAGAAGGACAAAGCCTGACAGCTGGCCGGTCTCCGCTTCTCTAGCTATTGTCATTGTTAATGAGCAAGTGAAAGAGAGAGAGAGAGAGAGAGAGAGAGAGAGAGAGAGAGGGAGGAAACGCATCTGAAGACGTTCTGCACAAGATAACCATTATTTATCCATCAGTCTTTGTCATCCCTTTAACCTTTTACATTTCCAGCTCAGAAAATGCTAAAAAAATACCTGACATTAACATTTACTATCTTTATTATCTTTATCTTTAATGGTAGATTGTCTTTAGCATAACATACTTACTAGAAATGACATTTACATGATCATAATTAATAATAATTGCTAACAGTATTTTGTTTCCCATTTTTTGCTCAGCTATTCAATCGATGACTTCCTCTATGAGCCAAAATGAGGAAGGCATGGTGTAAACAACCTGTGCCAAAACAATTGCGACATAAACTACCGTTCAAAAGTTGTATGTTCACCTTATGCTCACCAAGGCTGCATTTATTTGATCAAAAATACAGTAAACCGTAATACTGTGAAATATTATTACGTTTTCTATTAGAATATATTTTAAAATGTAATTTATTCCTGTGATGGCAAAGCTGAATTCTTAGCAGCCAGAACGGCAGGTTTCAGTTTCACATGACGAAATCATTTCGAAATCATTCTAATATGCTGATTTGGTGCTCAAGAAAGATGCTGTGCTGCTTAATATTTTTTATGAAAACCGTTTTTTTTTTTTTACAGGATCATTTGATGAATGGAAAGTTAAAATAAGCAACATTTATTTGAAGTAGAAATCTTTTATAAGATTACAAATATCTTTACTGTCACGTTTGATCAATTTTATGCATCCTCGTTGAATAAAACTATTACTTTCTTTCAAAAAACCATACAGGCCCAAAACTTTTGAACAACAGTGTATGCAAAAAAACTGTGCTTGTGGATTTCTTTTTCCATGACACCATATCCTATTAGGTGTCTTAATTTTGACATCAGGTCCTGTTATCAAAGCCCTGTGTTATTCGAGCAGGCAGAGACACTGGTCACACAGAATCTGGGACACACAGGTGAGATCACCAGGTAAACTGACAGGGAGGGAAAATCAAAGGCTGGAGAGGGGGAGGATAGGCACTGGGTTTTACTGTGGAAAGTTGAGGACGGTGGTGTTTTTAGGGCTGAAGTTGGTCGTTAGTGCACACAAAATAAACAACCAGAAAAAAAGGGGCCAATCACAGAACACACTGAGGGATGTAGACAAGGAACAATGAAAGGGAAATAAGAAGGTCAAAACAAGCCTTAAACAAAGGGGGGGTCAGGGTCATCATTGCCTACCTTCTGGGGAATCTGAGTGACAGATTTCTACAAAACAAAAGTAAAAGAAAAAAAGAAGAAAAAAAAGGAAAGAAATGTATATATGTAAATTGAAGAGCAAAAAAGCAAATGAAAAATGTCAAAGTGGTCGGGTTGCCCTGGACACAGCAACAATCAGTCTGGGGTTATTTGATGGGTTATCGGTTTAAACTGTACAGAATGAGCAAATAACATTAGTAATCTGGGTCACTGCATGCAATTAAACTATTAAGTCAATTATTAACACTTATAAAAGGGTTGGAATGCTTACACAAACTAAGTAGAGTTAAACCGCCTAATCTGAAGAATTGTTAAAGTCAACATGAAATCAAAACTGACCCAATTGGCTTGATTCATGGCACAATAAGATTAGAAATTTAGCAACTGTGCACAGTTAATCATTGCAAATTACACTTAAGAAAAATAAATCGTCTTCATAACTTTTCATCATCTAGCTCCACCTCTGAAATGACTAACTTTCATGACTGGTTTTGGCCACACACGTGGTGAAAATAACATTAACCAATAGCCAGTAGTTATTGTTTCAGACATACTGTTGTAGATAATGCAGCCTTGCCAATAAAATTAATTTAGCCAAATGTTAAAACAGTAATTTCATAGCATATTATATTAATATACACTACCATTCAAAAGTTTGAGGTTGGTAAGATTTTTATTGAAGTCTCGTATGCTCATCAAGGCTGCAGGTATGTGTTCAATAATACAGTAAAAACAACAATATTGATAAATATTACAATCTTAAAATAACTTTATTTTAATATGTTTCAAAAATCAGTTTATTCCTGTGCTGGCAAAGCTGAACTTTCAGCAGCCATTTCTCCAGTCTTCAGTGTCACATGATCCTTCAGAAATATGCTGATTTGGTGCTCAAGAATCTTTGTGACCCCAAACTTATGAATGGTAGTATAATAAATGTTGCAGGTATTATATATATTCAACAGTAAATCTGAAACAGAGGCATTATCACTGAGGTATAACCAGATGCTCACATTCAGGCCTGGCCCCATTTTGGCATGTAAAGCCCATTTTTCGCAATCCAAATTCTAATATTCTGTTTTATTTAGAAAAATGTCATATTACAGAAGTAAAATGGGTTTGCGAATGCAATTTCATGTTGACCTTAAGAAAGGATGTTTACATTCATTTAATAAAACGCATAAATCTTGTTCATGTCGAACCATTCCCACACTGGCTTGAACGTATACACAAAAGGACACAAAAACAAACAGATACACACAGACATAGAAAACGTCATCTGTCATTTCACCCTTTCCTTTTGAAATCTGAAACTGAACAGATATGAAAGACTAATACTGAACATGTAGGTGTTCTTAAGTTCCTCAAAGTGTAACAGAGATTTTTCATCTAGCAGGTTAAACATGAGTTTTGTGCTTTTACATTTTATTTTAGCAATATAGCACAATGTAAGTTTTTTGTAAACTGGCACTAGTGAGTGAATGCCAAGGTGTCCCCTCCACAAGTATTTATAGAGCAGGGGAATGTAATACCTCAGCTGTTACCAAGGATACTGTCGCCACGGAGGTGCGGAAAAGGTAGATATGTGTGCTGGAACTTGGAGACAGAGATGATGAAACTGATGAGAAATCTGCATGTGTTTAAATGAGCTGAGATTCGTGTTGAGATTATGGGTACTGACAGCACTTTGAAGGCCTGACCTTGCGGGTGAAATTATGACAATACCCAATACCCTGTTGAACATTGTGATTGCCTGTGCAGTCGTTTTGCTAGAACAAATCCACTAGTGAAGCTGTTTGATCACAGATAGACAACCAACCAGCATACTAACTGAATATAATGACAGACACCTATGAAATAACCCTCAGCAGGCGGCGTGAGAATGTGCTGATGTGTTCACTTTGTCTTCAATTATCTTTCTGTTATTTTTCATCATCACCTAATCTATCTTTAACTGACAAAAATACCCGACATTCATGTTCACCCCCCCCACGCTCAGCCACAATTAGGCTTTTTGGGCTGTTAACACCTCCCAAAATCAGTGACTTCCCCTGTCATTGCTCCAGCTCTATCTAACACCCTTTCTCTCACTGATTTATCTCACCTGCGCACAAACTTGGAGGTGAACTTGCTGAAGATGCCGGAAGCCGCGGGTCGTCGTTGTTGGCTGTTGCCGTGGGAGAGGGAAGGGGAGGCGGGGGCTCCGTGGTAAGGAGAACCCTGTTGGTCCCGTGCGCCCCGCTGCTGGCCGAGGTGGAAGGTGTTGCGGGTGGGCACCCCTCTAGGGAAATTGGTACGGTCCGTCCCAGCTGCGCTGCTGATATTGTGGGCTGATGGGGAGGCACCAGGTGCTCTCTGTGGGGGATCACTGTGACAAAGTAATTTTTCCCCAAACAAAAGGAAACAAATCAAACATTATATAAAATTAAAACATTTAAATATTTACTTTACATATATATATTTTTTTAAATAAAATTGATTTCAATAAATATTTAAATGCATTTGAAATTTTTTCTATTTTAAAATGGACATTATAAAAATAAAAAATAGATAACCATTTATTTTACACTGTCTTTGTCACACATTAGGTATTACAGTAAATTATACATATTTATATGCATAAGTACGTTGTTAATTAATATTACTCAGTTTTAAATGTGCAATTACACTGTAACAATGACACTGTAAAATAAGGTGTAACCTAAAAATTCAATAAAAGTACAAATCAAATAACAAAATTTTTTTTTATACTTTTTAAATCTTTAATAAAAAATTAAATAAAATATAAAAAATATGGACATGGAAGGTCGATTTACACTACTTGTGTCTGCAGAAAGAATAGCGTATAATGGGTGTTTCAAACCTAATGTGTGAATATGAAAAATACTTGATTTATGCATTCATGAAATGCATAAAATCATGTTTGACTTCATAATACAGTTATGTATTATTCAATTTCATAATTTAAATTGAATGGTTAAAATATCAGGAGCTCTGTTCTGGCTTTTACAGAGCTCAAGTAACTTATATTATGTAATCTCAAAATAATGAGAACACAGACATCTCTGGCCCAATGGGTAGACATTTAATCCGTCATATCACACACACACACACACACACAGTAATTTGTGTGTGTGTGTGCAGTGAAGCAGCACACCTCCCCCATAGCTGTCCTTTCTGCACACTGTCTGTGAAAATCTCACCCAACCATGTTAGATCCATGCCAACATCTGTTTTAGGTGCCAACCAGTGTAGTAGAACCTAGCCAGAACCAGTCGCCAACTGGCACAAGCACAGCCAGCGAGGTCACATGACTCTGGGTAACTGAACCCGCCAAAGCTAGAACACAAAACACTGTCCCATCCATTTCAGCCAGGAAGTGAAGTGTGCTGGACCCATCTCAGAAACATAGCTGTGTTTGGATTAACAAACTATGATCTGCTCTATACACAGGCACCACATTATCATATCATTTAGGGACATGTTTATAGCTCCTGATTTGACATGGTTACACACACTGGTTTGCTTCGAGAAAGTAAAAACTTTTAAAGATTCTTTTACAGTCAACATGAAATCAAATTCAACCCCATTTATTTACTAATTTCTGGTCTTACTGTGCATGATTTTTTATGCATGTTATTCTAAAAAAAAAACATTCTGGTATGGACAAATAAAATCAAATACAGCAGAAAATCGTTCCTGATGGTTAAAATCAAATCCTGATTGACAATTTTATCTTTGAACATTCTGTTTCATCCTGAAATGCATCACATTATGGAAGTAAACTGGGTTGTGAGCATCATTTCATGTTGACTCTGAGAGTTAACAACAAAACTAATTAGTTGGTTACTGGGGATCAGCATTTACAATGACAATGGCTCGATTTTTCTCACTTTCTTTTTTATTTGTTTATTTATTTATTTTACATTTTGGCAGCACCACAATCACTTACCTTCTGCAGATCCACGTATGACCTCAATACACTGGCTAAAAATGACCTTCTCAAACCCTCCGTACACTAAAGTTCACAGCAGGTCATCACTAACACTTAAGGGTGGATTAAACTGGGGGCCTGAAAGACTGCACATTACTGGGAGAGTGTCCAACTCTACCACTTTACCATGGAGCAAGAATACTCGGGGGCAGATTTGGAGAAACTTTTTCGACAAACTCTGACTGTGCAAACTAATACACACAAACACAACACCTTAGCAAGGGACTCAGATGTTCCCATGGTAACACCGTAGTAAGTTAGATATGGCACACAGCTGGATGTTTCGAAGAAAAAAATAACATACGAGCACTCTAGCAAATATGAGCAGGAGCTTAAGAACCAAACCCATGCCACTGGGAAAAAAAATCTGCACTTATGATGCATGTCAGAACACACATGAAACATGTATGATGGGACCTGCATCTAGTATTATTCAGATATATCGTATATATTCTCTCGGAGCAGAGATTTTCACAGTGGCGAACCACACAGTTCCAAAGTGTCAAAGTGAAGGCCCTTGCACGTGACTCAAGTTGATGTTCCTCTAGATAGCAAAGCATCAAGCTACAGTGTAACCATCGACACCAGGTTGCACTCATGCAAACTGTTGAAAAGTTCAACAAAAGTATAAGATATAAGAGGGATTGACCCAGTGGCAGCTAAAAGTGTCCTGAGACAGTTTCATGAACCCATTTTTCTTTCTACATTTACATTTATGCATTCCCTGGGAATCAAACCCATTGCTACATCAGTTCTAAGTTTTTCTTCTGTTTGCTGTCACTATTTTCAGTTAACTTAAAGAAACCTTGTAAAATCTCCCTTCCTGTATGCTATTTTCAGCACATGTGGAAGCCAACACTTGTGTCCTGACATGAGTCACGTGAAAGGACCTTGAGAGACAGAATGAGCCAAACTATGTGCTGTACATGGCCCCTCACTCACTCGTTCATATATACAGTGCACAGATCTGAATATATGGCCCTTGCGCTGAGGTGCATTTCACTCCAGAGGGGAGACGGGGCAGAGAAGCACAGAGGAGTGAGAGAGACGATGTAACAGGACAGCAGTACCTTCTCTCAATGTTCCCCAACCACGCTCGGAAGAGGCTCAGCTCACTGCATACAACAGACCAGCCATTCACTTACAGCAGGACTGACAGGCTATCCAAACCATTCACACTCCATGCTGCAGCGCAAAAATTGATAATGTGTTCCTGGCGTGGTCAGTGTTTAGTGTGAATATGAGGTTATTGTTAGTGGCCTTGTGCAATCAGTGATGGTCAAGAGAGGACAGGAAACAATGTTTCCTGGGGGAGCGCGATTAGCTGTAAAGTGAAGTGGGGTCTTTGTAGCATCATTTTAGTTCAGCAACACTGCCAGGTATCGCCGTTCACATCTTAACAACCACTCAACTTCATATGAAAGCTGTAACAAATATTATTATTTCTTATTTGTTCCTGAAATCCCTGCTGAAAAAAACTGTGTTGTGGTCCAAGCTGGTATATGACAGACATTGGTGCATGCTACTTTTTAAAACAATTTTATCTAGCGTTGCGTTAGTTCTGGCAGGTCACGTTAGTCAAGCTCGCATCAGCTGACTCTCAGCTGATCCCCATCAACCTATGGGAATACGACACCTATCTAAGCATTCATATATAAGGTCCCTCAGTATTATCAGCAGTTTTCGCATTGCTCAATAGCTAATTACCCTCCTCCATCCCCAACTCCTCCTCTGTCAGTCAGGATTCAGCCTTCTGATTCTCCTTTGAATCAGACTAATTCTAAAATGTGGACATAACATTATTGAACTTTAACGATATCTGCAATACATTTATGTTGGTTCTGTTCTGTTTACCCTGGGGGGGGGGGGTTATCGCTGCTCTCCCTGCTCTCATCCATGCTAGGCTGCATGGATGCGCAGGGAGTTCTTGCCCAGAACAGAACCATACCGCCAATCCAAACTGTATGCTAATTGTCAATCATCTTTGACGATAGTGGTCCTGACAGAATTGCAGTGAAACTGGTTGACCAAGAAAGTCTTGTTGGTTTGAAGTAGTAGTTCATTCAAACTGAAAATTCTTAGTGAGATTTTTCTGGGTGAGCCTCATGTTGTTCCAAACCTGAATGACTTTCGTCTTTTGTCCATACAATTCAAGTCAGTGAGACATTTTTCAAAATATCATATTTTGTGTTCCACAGAACAAAGTCAGTCATACAGATTGGGAATGGCACAAGGGTGAGTAAATTATGATAATTCATTTTTGGCTGAACTATCCCTTCCCCTACTAGTGAAGAAGCCTGGACACAACAGTATCACATACTGTGAACCACAAGCCAAAACATATGCTGGTGGTCAGCCGTGCTTGTCTTTTCAGAAGGGATATGAAAATGTGTCTTGTTTTAGTCTTGTAGCACAACCATCTCCCAGTGTTGACTCGGTAGACTTCTGTCACCCCCTGACTTCCTGCAAGCTCTTTCCCTGCCAACTATACAATTTCTAAGAATGCAGAAACCCCCCGAGACATGCCACAGTTCCCAGATTTTATCACTTTATGTGACACTCTTCAGTAGTTGACATGACTGGTTTCCTGTTCGGTTCTCTATCTGGCGGCGTGGGGACTTGCCTGGGCCGGTGTGAGTGCAGGTCTGCGGGGCAGGGATGGGCGGAGGTGGAGAGGGACTTGTGATGGCGGGTGCGTGAGGAAGAGGAAGATGAGGAGAGCACGGCACCGGCTGAGGCCGTGGAGGCACGGGACCCGGGGGTGTTTAGGCTGAGGGGAGAGAGAGAGCGGCCCCTCCGTACACACACGCACAAATCAACACACACATAAACACGAGTGTGCGTGTATGTGTGGAGGCAGGGAGGGAGGGAGAAGCATTCCATTAGAAATAACACTTGGCACACATTAGAAAGAATGATGAAGACAGACAGACAGACCAATATATAGACCAACAGACAGAGAGACAGACAGATCAACAAACAGACAATAGATAGACATATAGATATAAGGATAGAACAATAGATAGACAGCTTGATGGATGATAGAGCGATAGATATAGCCATAGAAATTGGATGGATAGAATGATAGATAGAGTGATAAACAGAGCAATAGATAGGGTGACAGAGCAATAGATATACAGATAGATTGAGCAAGAGATTGACAGTATACAGTGTTAGATAGACAGACAGACAGAGCCATAAATGGACAGATGGATAGAGTAATGAATAGATGAACCAATTGAGCGATTGAAAGAGTGCCAAACAAAGCGATAGATAGATAGATAGATAGATAGATAGATAGATAGATAGATAGATAGATGGATAAACCAATTGAGTGATAGAAAGAGTGCCAAAAAAAGCGATAAATAGATGAGAGAGCAACAGATAAGATAGATAGATGTATCTGGGCATCTAAAGTGAGAGACAGTGGTGAATAACACAAGAGAGATGGAGGGAGGGAGAGGGAGGTCAAACAGAGTGCTGATTTCACAGAAAAGCACAAAAGAAACACACACACACACACTCCACAATGCAGGGATTAGTTGAGCTTGTGGTGAAGAAATAATATGCTATCACCTTGCTATGTGGCAGAGAGAAGCTAAGCCTATTACAGACGACTACAGCAACCTTACAACAGAGTTAATGGTGCTTTTTTTCCATCACAAGCCACCCTAATCCATTTAAAGCTATACATACACTAACAAAGACACACAAAGTCACACACTCACAACGCAGACAGAAGAAAAACAAAATTAGTGTTCTAAGACAAACGATCCAGGACAGAGAGAAAGAAATGGAAAAAGAAGAGGGATGTGTGGGGAATATTTAACCCGACACACCATCTGAATGCCTTCAGATAAGTTCATGAGAAAACACACAGGCAAATCAACAAAACCTGCAGTAGCATTAAAAGGACAAGAGGTTATAACTCTAAAGACCCCATGAAATCGTTTGATGGAAATAGTTTTCTTTCCTGTGTCGAAACATTAGTTACTTAAACAGGAAGTTGGGGCGTGACATAGCGCAGGCCTTTTTTTTTAAATAGCCTTTTGTATACATCACATGATTTGCTACTTGCTATTGCTAGTCAAAAGTTGACATTTGGAACAGATATTATTCTTATTCTAGAAACCATAAATTGAATTCATGGGGTCTTCATCATTCATCAGTGTTATCATAACATACTTACACACCCATAGAGAACTACAGTAGCAGAGCACAGCTCGAATAACAACAGTTAAAGGCTTGTTCACACCAAGTTCATAGGATACTCTGCCAAAAATGAATCAAATCTCATCATTTACTCACCCTTATGCTGTCCAAGAGGACTTATTACTTTGTTTTGTTTAGATGATATACACAGATTTTTCTAAAAATAATCAATCCATCTCCATATAATGCAAGTGTACAGGACATATGACAGCTGGCCAGAAGTGATAGGTTATAGTAAAAAAAAAAAAAAAAGTTACAAATAATAATACTTTTCTTACACCTATTGTTTCACTTCAGACATTGATTCAATAACTGGGCCGTATGGATTACCATCATGTTCACTTTGTGTGGTTTTTGAAGCATCAACTTTGGGAACAAAAAGCAATATAATCTGAGACAGCATGAGGGTGAGTAAATGATAAGAGAATTTTCATATTTGGGTGGAGTATCCCTTTCATGTGATTATAAGACATGAAAGTATAACAACTCTTTGCACCAAAACTATACACATCAAGTCCAATGATGAAAGTTGAAAATAAAAAGTTCATAGGATACTCTGCCAAAAATGAATCAAATCTCATCATTTACTCACCCTTATGCTGTCCAAGAGGACTTATTACTTTGTTTTGTTTAGATGATATACACAGATTTTTCTAAAAATAATCAATCCATCTCCATATAATGCAAGTGTACAGGACATATGACAGATGGCCAGAAGTGATAGGTTATAGTAAAAAAAAAAAAAAAAAAGTTACAAATAATAATACTTTTCTTACACCTATTGTTTCACTTCAGACATTGATTCAATAACTGGGCCGTATGGATTACCATCATGTTCACTTTGTGTGGTTTTTGAAGCATCAACTTTGGGAAAGAAAGCAATATAATCTGAGACAGCATGAGGGTGAGTAAATGATAAGAGAATTTTCATATTTGGGTGGAGTATCCCTTTCATGTGATTATAAGACATGAAAGTATAACAACTCTTTGCACCAAAACTATACACATCAAGTCCAATGATGAAAGTTGAAAATAAAATATATATATTTGTTATTCTGTGAGCATCTATGTAGCTCTGCAAATACTGCAAGCTTCTGTTATCAAAATCAAATCTTACTCTGCCGTTCACTTATAGGTCAGTTCCTGACACATGACCTAAAAGCTAATATCTTATTCTACTGAGAGTTTATTTTCTCCATCGGAACCATAAACTAATTCTGACACTAATAATAATAACAATGATAAAAGTATAACAAATTATCCATCTGCTATGTTCAGAGCTTGGTACAAATCTTTGGGTGTACCTGTCCTTGCCGTTTTGCACTCCCAGAGTGGCTCTCTCAGAAACGGGGGAATTTCTGCTGCGGCTTGTGCCTGTGGACAGGATACTATTCTGAAATTACAAACACACACAGGTGCAAACCAGTGTTGTTATTGTTAACTAATGCCAAATTTACACCGCAAAGGTGGCACAAAAGTGCTTCTGAAGTGGCATTTAGGTGTCTTCACACAGACTGTTTAAAGCTGCTCAGAGGTGGAATGAATGCATTTACACAGCAATGATACTTTGATACTAGGGTCTGATATTGTTCAGAGCTGGCATTTTTTAGTCAGGATTTCATGCAGCATTACATCTTTACACCGAATTTTGAGCAGGCACAGAGCAGCTTTAATTCAGCTGCGTAAATATGCCTTTAAAAAAACTAAAAACTTGTTGATTGAAATAAGGCTGAAATAAAAAAATAAACTATTAGATGAAAAACAAACTTACAAAAAATGCAGCAACTAACTGAAATAAAATAAAAAGTACTAAAACTACTAAACTAAAATAAACAAAGCTAAAATTAATGGTTATTATTTTAATAATAATAATATTTCTATATGTCTATCTTTTCTATTTCTATAATCATTTTCTGTAATTTCTATAATCTCTTAACTAGATTATTCTGATAAATGCACATTTGCATATATTAGTTCTGGAACTGCAAATAATCCAAGTTTGGGCTTGGAGCGATTAAAGGAACCATGAACCATTCAAAGGACAGCCCTGCTATGAACCCTGGGTGAATATTTAATGACAAACTAGAAACACAAAAAAAAAACAAATTTCTGTCTATTGCTAAAGGTGTGAAAATATTTGCTTTCTCATCCAACGTGTGGTAGAACTACTACTTGGTTGGTACTCTGACAGGGCCTATTTCATACAATAGTATTTGCACTTTCAAATGAGAACAAAAGAAAAAGGCACACTATCTAAAGATGTGCAAACCCAGAAACTCCAACTATGATGTGGTGTGTGTAAGCTCAAAATAGCATCCTCTGTTGCATTTTCACAGATATAACTCAAGAGCAGAAGCCATGAGCACTGGCTGTGCCAAACATCTCTCAGTGAGAGAGTGCACTTCAACCCTGGGCAAGCCCTTCCAGCCATCTGCTGCCTGAAAAATATCAGTGTGGAAAGCAGCAGGCTTTACAGAGCACCCCCATGCAACTGAGAACAGAAACAGTAGTTAAGATGTCTAAAAATTACCCTGCTATTATGTTAAAAGCTTCCTCAATCCATAATGTAATAACATGTTCTTCAAGTACATGGAAACTGAACTAAAGAACATGACGTGACTTTGATACTGTATTAGTCTAGTTGATAAGCTTGAGTTCCCTAGCTTGTAAAAAAAATCAAGCACTCAGTCTAGATAAACATGCTCTATAATTGATACAGTTCCCCTTTTTGTCATCGTGTTTTATATGTTGAAAAAGTTCTGGCATCTTTGTTTGGTGGTCGAGAGTGGAAGTGACTGGACAAGAGGGGGGCACAGAATTGGGTATACTTAACTAATGGTATCTGTGTACCTCTGGTAGGATATTTAATTGCTAGTTGATAAGCTTGAGTTCCCTAGCTTGTAAAAAAAAATCAAGCACTCAGTCTAGATAAACATGCTCTATAATTGATACAGTTCCCCTTTTTGTCATCGTGTTTTATATGTTGAAAAAGTTCTGGCATCTTTGTTTGGTGGTCGAGAGTGGAAGTGACTGGACAAGAGGGGGGCACAGAATTGGGTATACTTAACTAATGGTATCTGTGTACCTCTGGTAGGATATTTAATTGTACATTATCTTTTCTCCAACTTTTAAATTTAGTTTGGCTTTGCCATCACCTAATACACTCAAAGCTATTTTTTTATAATAATAATAACACATCCCTAAGAAACACATCACCAAACAGACACACACTTACAGTAGAGGGAGTGGAACTCTTTTTGCGTTCAATGGAGATAACTGGACTGGGTGGAACTTTGGTGGAGCTACTTGAACCTTTCCTCCCAGAATCCTCCACTCCATGCTTGTTTTCTCCCTGAGGCCGTTTCGAGTGTGAGCCTGAAGGACAAAGAAGAGAGAGTATGAATGGGGAAACATACTGTATGTGTGAATGTATGTTTATAAAGGTCTTCATTCACAAAAACTCCCAATCCGCTCACCCTGATCTGTTGATCTTCTGACAGGTTTCTGAGTGGATGACACACTGCGCTGTACCATATGAGGTGGAGAAGGGCCATTGCTGTTCGTGAGGTCACTTCCTGGGCGTGGCTTTAGCGACAAGTTGACACCCTCGTCAAGCTGTGAGTCAGAATTTTCAAAGGTGTGTGAGTGCAAAAAATGTGGGCAATAAAGTATGTGTGTGTTTATGTATGTGGGTACCTCTGAATTCCTATAGTCAAGCAGCAGGTAGGTTGCCATGACTTCATTGTATTTTTGTTTGATGAGAGATTCCTCTATTTCCTCTTGACTGAAACCCATCTGAAGCATTATGTCTAAATGGGCAACATACACACGTCATTGCAATACCACTCTAAAACATTTCCAAATCTCTGAACGTTTTCTATTTTGTATTTTTTTTAGAGATTTATTTTAACATCTAAACTATTTCAGATGTGTCACACACACCTGTTCTCCTGGGGTCTTTGTAGTCAGGTTGAGGTTCAAAGTAAGGCTTCAGTTCATCATCTTCATGACCTACATTCATCCAGCGATCCTTCATGATCTGCTGCTGAGCCAACGGCAGAATATAAGACAGAGAATAAGAGAGATGGTGAGGGATCACATAACTGTATCTTTACATGTTTTTAGGTAACCACACTATGAATTCAAGTGCAAATTTCTGCCAAAAAACCTGCTTATCTGAATAAAAGCAAAACATAATTTTGTCATTCACAGGCTTAAATGTAAAATATAAAGCATTACGCAAATGTAACCGATTTTGTCATGCTCATAGAATCAATAAAAAGCAAAAAAAAAAACTTTAACAGTAGAAATTAATTTAATTTCAATTAATATATTTATTCAAAATCACTAGCTCTCAACCATGGTCAGGGTCCACTAGGGGACCTCAGCAAGCTTCAAAGGGGTCTCTAGGTGAAATTATTTAAAATAAGACGAAAAAGCATTAAAATAAGACAATTAAGAATCAAGAAATTTCTTTTATTTTAATTAACCCCCCTAAGGGCCATTCACACAGAATGTGTCTTTGCGTCTAAAAACACGAGATGCAGCATTAAGGAATGATTTTTTAAAAAAGTGCAGTGCAGAATGCCTCTTCCGCCATGTTGCTGTCAAATAAAACAGTTGCCATGCCAAACTTGCAAGACAAAAGCTTGCAATGCTTGCCCCACCTCCGGGGTCTTCTGATTGGTCCACTGTATTGTAACTGACACTGATGAAAGGCACTGCATTTAAACATTGAAATTCATTTAACTTGACACAGTGTCTTAAAAACGCGGTGCTTATGTGTAAGACACTCCAAAACAGGCACATGTCATACATGTCCGTCTAGCAATGGAAAAGTAGCGCATTGGAATAGAAAAACGACCTCTAAGAATTCCCACAATCTTGGGAAAACCTGGATACATGATTAAAAGTGCGATTTTTTCCCCAAGTGAATTTATTAATCAAATCTTAAATGCCCCAGACATTTTTATACATTTTATAAAAACTGATTTTTTTCTGGTTATGCCAAACTCTAAAATCTTTCATCAGGTAGAAATTGAGGGGAAAAAAATATTTGCAAAAATCCTTATCCAGCAAATCATAAATGACTGGAAAAGTCATGGGGCCTTTGAATATTGTTGTGGACTACAGAAGGCTTTGGAGTCAAAAAGACAGAGATCTACTGTTCTACAGTCAGTTAATACTGAAGCAGCAAACTTTGCAAAACATAAAATTTGTTACTGCCAAAACTTAGATTTTTTCCCCAAGTGAATTTATTAATCAAATCTTAAATGCCCCAGACATTTTTATACATTTTATAAAAACAGATTTTTTTCTGGTTATGCCAAACTCTAAAATCTTTCATCAGGTAGAAATTGAGGGGAAAAAAATATTTGCAAAAATCCTTATCCAGCAAATCATAAATGACTGGAAAAGTCATGGGGCCTTTGAATATTGTTGTGGACTACAGAAGGCTTTGGAGTCAAAAAGACAGAGATCTACTGTTCTACAGTCAGTCAATACTGAAGCAGCAAACTTTGCAAAACATAAAATTTGTTACTGCCAAAACTTTTGGCCATGACTGTAAATAGGTATAGTATATGTAATAAAACATTCTGCCAGGAATTGCTTTCCATATAACATAGTGTTAATTTTGTCAGCTATTTTTAATTTAGTCTTAGTCCTGTGTCAAATGTAACTTTGACTTTTTATCATATTTAGTCAACTTGTCCTGTTTTAGTTTTAGTCGACTAAATGTCTGAGGCATTTTAGTCTAGTTTAAGTCAGTGGAAACTTACACATTTGTCATTTTCGTATTACTATATAATGGTTAAAATGATAAAAAAAAAAGATCAATTTTGCTCAATTTTAATTGCAATGATTGTTGTCATTTGGGAAATGTATTTTTACATTTCATCAGAAGTTGTTCTTACACCAATAAGCACAAATCAATATACTATCAACTCGTATGCATGGTTTATTTTACCTCATCTAGTGTACAGATTTATAACAAGATATCAATTAGAGGCTAAATAAACACCAAATACTTTAGATACTCGCCCCGTCTACGTCATGAAAACTGGCGTAACAAAAACTTACTCTCAAATATTATAACAGAGAAATTCCTAATAGTAATTCCAATAATTCTAAATTGCATTAAAGTTTCTTTTAAAACAACGGCAAAAAAAAACTTATAGCGCACAGAGGTTGAACTTTACAATCCGCAACCACTATCGCAAACAATACAGTCGAGATCCATGCCAGAACACAGACTGGCTGAATGACACTTTCATTTAAGCAGAATACCTCAAATGGAGATCGCTGAACTCCAGCTTACTTGTACAGTAGAATACTATATGTCGTGTTTTCAGATCACGGCGCCGCCGCAGAGAGAGCACGTGTGAATGGTTGACAGATTGCATAAAGCTGGGTTGAGTAACGTACCGTTTAACAGAAAAGCTCTGATTGGGGGATTTGATCTCTTGATATCTGGCAACCGCAAACATGAACGCTCGCATAATAGAGTCTTGCACAGCAGTCTGAAATGTTTTGGCTCCACTTTTTTCAACAAAAATAAAAAGGTTTTGGTAAAGTTTTTGCTCTTTTAACTACATTTTAGTCTCGTCTTTTTTCGTCAACAATATTGCATGTTCATTTAGTCTTCAGTTATCTTTTCATGATATTATTATCGTCTCGTTTTCGTCAGGGGAAAAAACTTAGTTGACAAACATTTTTCGTCATAAATGTCCATTTTACTATTTTGCAAGGTTCTTTTTTTTTTTTTTAAGATTTTTCAAGCTCAACATAGAGGAGTTTATAGGTATGTACTGTTTTGTTTTAAAATGATTTTTCTTATTTTGTGCTGAAAATTCATACTTGGTGTGACTAGGCTAATTTAAATGTAAGGCCTTTGTCTGTATTCTAGTTCACAGTCAGATGTGTATACATGTCTAAATCGAGCGCACCTCCAAACTTCCCCTCTTGGTAGGATTGAGGATGAGAAACTTTTTCAGCAGGTTCTCACAGTCTGTGGACATGTAGAAAGGAATCCTATACTTCCCTCTTAACACACGCTCTCGCAACTCCTTCATAAGACAAAGAGAAACACAGTGAGGATGATACAGTAGAAATGAGGAAGATAAATAAAAGGACAGTGACACACAGGGACATTAGGACAGCTATTCAGTGTCTCTCACCTTCAGGTTCTGTCCATCGAAAGGCAGCGAGCCACTGACCAGCGTGTAAAGTATGACCCCGAGACTCCACACATCCACCTCTGGACCATCATATTTTTTGCCCTGGAAGAGTTCAGGGGCGGCATATGGTGGGCTCCCACAAAACGTGTCCAATTTATTGCCCATCGTAAACTCATTACTGAAACCAAAGTCAGCGATCTTTATGTTCATGTCAGCATCCAGTAAAAGATTCTCAGCCTGAGGGAGAAAGAGAGGATGCCATGATGGTAAGAGGTTTGATACAGTGAACAAGAAGCGTTAAGTCTCCCTTTTTAACCTCAGCGCTCAAGTGCCTATCGGAAATGCCTGCTTCTGTTCCTTCAGGGTTGTCGAACTTTACCTAATGAGTTCTCTTATGCTATTGTGTGTGTGTTTATGAATGTGTTGAGACTTGCCCTCTGTGCTGCCACTCAACTTCTACACACCAATTTTAGCCTGCGCAGAGAAGCCGTGTTGCCTAGCAACAGATGCGGGGTGCTAACTGGGCTTGGTTTGCAGAGTTAAATATTACTCTGCCAACAGAGCCAAACTTTTACAACATGCAAACACACAGCAACCAAGAAATGGATGAGGCTTGGGCAGCACAAATATCTGACGAAGGTGATATTATATTGTCCTTGCACTTAAAACTCCAAATTGAATTTAGCTATGTTGTATTTAATATATGACATCTGTGTGTCCATTAGCTGGTTAACATGATGTTAATCAATCACATTTTACCGATTTCAGTGAAAGGATTTTGTTTTTGCAAAAAGGGCCCAATATGTTTAACTACATACTGTCATGTGGACAAACCAGTCACTGTTAATACAGTAAGAGTTCTTGGCTCTTCTCAATTTGGAGATGAGTGAAAGAAAAATACATTCAAATATTAGTTCAAGACTGACTTGAGCCTTTTAGATTAGAAGAACCGACTCATAAAAGTCACTGGTCATGCTGTACATTATTCAAAAGTTTGGAGTCAATAAGATTTTTTTACACACACCTGCTAACCAAGGCTGCATTCATTTGATTCATTGGAAAATACAGTAAAAACTGTCATATTGTGAAATATTATTACTATTTAAAATAACTTGTCTATTTTAATATTAAAAATTTAATTTAGTCCTGTGATGGCAAAGCTGAATTTTCATGAGCCATTACTCCAGTCTTCAGTGTATATAAATTATTTCAATCATTTTAATTTCCTTTGCTGGGGCAACCGGCTCTAAATACAACACAATCAACTTGAAAGAAATACGATATAGGTCCTGCAATCCAACCTGAACTGCCAGAAACCTCTCTAGCCACAATAGAGGTGTGGCTTAATGGTTAACACACACACAGAGACACAGATGCATCACTATTACAGTACAGTTGCAAACCTTGGGTAAGTGCTTTATTATTTGTGGCGCTCATATTAAATCAATAAGGCAAACACTGTCCTTTTCTATTGTAATCAATACATCTCCAGAATTGTGGTGACATTAGTTAGTGTACACCTCTGTGTGTGAGTGTGTGTGTGTGCATGCAAAAAAAAGAGACAGGCCGATAGAGAGAGAAAAAGGAAGAGGTTCAGACACAAGATTGTATACTATGCAGGGTTGTATACTATTTCTGGGGGTCCTGAGTGGGACATAAAATAATTACATTAAGTTATGCATAGAGACAGTGACTAACTCCAAAGTTCAAGGGTCACTGTAATGATGGTCTGGACCAATAAGCAACTTCAGTTACGTGGGCAGAATATCATCATGGGAACATTCATCCAGAGAGACACTTCCTTTCATCTTAACAAAGAGAAGATCTGGGGTCAGCAGTTCCAGAGTTCATAGTACACTCATGATAGCGTGTGGGTGTGTGTTTGAACAGAGGACTCATTCCTTCACCTGCACTTCTGTAATGGACTTTGATGACAGACACAGAAGAACTACTAAAGACGATGTGAAAGATGAAGGTACAGCTGAATGGAGATCTTGCTGCTCAGGGCATGTTTATATGTAACAGACACTAAGGGCCCTAATACACGCACACACATTCTCACCTTGAGATCTCGGTGTACAATACACTTCTGATGGCAATACTGCACAGCTGAGACAATCTAGAGAGATACAGAGAGAAGGTGTGGTGAGTAATCAGGAGAGTAGGTGAAGTCATTTTGGCTACTGATGGGAGTTGTCGCTCTTTAATTAGGCTGTTCTATCAGTAATTAAACCATCATACACTCAGATGCACACAGCAGAGTTAATGAGCGCGCGCGCACACACACACACACACACACACACACACTAGCAAAAAAGGGCCACTTAGCATCACCTGTCACAAACACTACTGTTTAAAACAGTATATGCTTACCAAAGCCCAATTTATTTGATTATATATACAGTAAAACAGACATATTGTGAAATATTACAATTTTTTAAATTATTATTACCGTACTAAAATAAACAGGGTTCAAAAGTCTGAGACCATATTGAAAATCCGGGATTCTAAAATCTAATTTAAAATGGAAAATAAATAGTTTTAGAATTTTTAACATTTTAAAAGTTTAGTGTAAGTGTAAAATTAATTTGATTTCTAGGTCACTAATTAAATAAACTTTTGTCACTGATCATGTGAACTCATCTGTACAGATGTCAGATGTTCTTGCTTCTATTGAAACAATTATACAATTAATACAATGCTGTTTGGATCATTCTCAAATCATCCTGGAAAATATGATCACAAGCTTTTTTTTTTTTTGCTAATTCATGTTAATTTTTTGATATGACTGAACTGAAGCAAAAAAGGGCCACTTAGCATCACCTGTCACAAACACTACTGTTTAAAACAGTATATGCTTACCAAAGCCCAATTTATTTGATTATATATACAGTAAAACAGACATATTGTGAAATATTACAATTTTTTTAATTATTATTACCGTACTAAAATAAACAGGGTTCAAAAGTCTGAGACCATATTGAAAATCCGGGATTCTAAAATCTAATTTAAAATGGAAAATAAATAGTTTTAGAATTTTTAACATTTTAAAAGTTTAGTGTAAGTGTAAAATTAATTTGATTTCTAGGTCACTAATTAAATAAACTTTTGTCACTGATCATGTGAACTCATCTGTACAGATGTCAGATGTTCTTGCTTCTATTGAAACAATTATACAATTAATACAATGCTGTTTGGATCATTCTCAAATCATCCTGGAAAATATGATCACAAGCTTTTTTTTTTTTTGCTAATTCATGTTAATTTTTTGATATGACTGAACTGATGATATGATCTGTAACTAAAAGTTATAATAGAAAAATCGAAGCATTTTCACTAGTGGGCTCAGACTTGGACCTCAATGTACGAACATGTGAGCTTTGACACTGAAGCATGACTCACTCACATGCACTGGCACTGACCTGTCTAAATTTGGCACGCGCTTCCTTTTCTTTCATCCTCCCGTGAGCAACAAGGTAATCAAAAACCTCGCCTTGGAAATGGAAGAGGGGAACATTGCAATAGAGTAGAAAATGACAGAGGAAGGCAAATGAGGTAAAGGAGTGGCACAAGAAGAGGAGAAGAACAGACCGATCAGGCAAAGGAGAAAGGATGATGGGAGAATGACATTATTCAAAATGCAGTGTTCTGATTTTTAGGTCTTGACATGATTGACAGCTGGCAGTTCTAGTCTTTCAGCCCACTCACCTCCACTGGCATATTCCATTATTAAATACAGCGTGTTGTCTGTCTCGATCACCTCAAATAACTTCACTGGTGGAGAGAAAGAGAGATTACCACAAATCAAAACATGCAAGAGACTATTCACACCAAATTTGAATTTTAGGCACATCCCCAACAAGAATTAACCCATCTCTATGAAATCATTCACATCTTTAACTTATTGGTTAAATGCCTGACATAAGGTCTGCATTAACACAATCTCAAGATACTTTCATATTTTATTCATGACATAAAATACATCAGTAATACCCCCCCCCCCTTAAAAAAAAAGCTTTTACTTGTCTTGATTGCTCTTAGACTGCTGCTAACAAGTGGCTAAGTAGGACTACAGAGGTTGTCAGGGACATTAAACATACCGAGCAGGTAAACTCATCTACTCACTAGTCCACTTTTACAGTCTCACTGTGTTTATAATTGACCCTTCACAAAGACCCGCCCCCCCTTAGTTACTGCTGCTACGTCCAACAAGCCATGGTGCTCTCACACCACACATCATGATCTCACACAGTGAAAAACACATCGTGGAACAAAGAGGACACTGACAACACATCGACAGACAAGAGAGAGCAGGTTACTTTTGGTATGAAACAAATTTGGAATTTTTTTTAGAAATTCAGCTTTCAAATTGTGTCATTTTTTACGAAATTCAAACAGTAAATACAGTTTTGTGGTTCTTTAGGGTGCTTTCACACCTGTCTCATTTGGAGCGTTTGATTTGGAACCTGTCTTCATATTAAAATGTTGTATAAACACACAATAAGCCCGCAGAGCATACATACATCTTAATGAGCGAACCAAACCAAGAAGAAAACGCAACATTGTAACAGGCGTTCCTGTGAAGGTTTTCTATTGTGGTTAACAGTGCTAACAACTGAGGTCGAAAAAAAAATCATATTACTGATGTAGCACATCTACACCTCTAAAGCACAGCATTATTACTTAATGGCATGACACCATATGAGTTGGAGGTATGATGGAACGCAGTGGTGATAAATACATTATTTCTATATGAAGCGCTTCAGGCTTTGCAATGAATGCTACAAAATCCACCATATGTGTCTTGAGCAGCTGACATGATTATAACCAAAGTTTAGCGCTAAAGCTTACGCTTACAAACTGCATTAGAATGAGTTTCCTGAGCTGAGCAGCAGTGACAAGAAAACAAAAGTCTCATAAGCAACAATAAAAACCCACAAACCCTAAAGGGAAAAAATGGAAACGTTCCAAATCCAAACAAACAGCATCTGATAAAGAGAGATGCACTAATAAAGTAGAATTATAATGAACAGGCTTTAGGAGTAGGTTTTAAAGCTCAGAGCTATTCTATTCATCACAGCCTATTCAACGAAAACAGGCCACTACTGTTTGAAATTAATGAAATGAATAAAATACATAATCCCTACTTTGTGTGTCCTCACGGAAAAGATCAAGGAGCGTTCCAGATCAATCAGCTGTGATTATGTGATGTGATACCAGCACAGCCGCAATCGACCATTGAACAGAGAGAGCAAGGACTCTGAATCAGGACTGAATCCACAGTGCTGCTTCCTCAAAGGGGGCAGGTATTTCCTTTCATATTTCAGTTCTGTGCTTTGATATTTATGAGCACAAGCTGAGAGCTAATGAGCTAGTGCTTCTGTCAAGACCACCGTCACAGCACAGGCAAACACACACACACACACACACTTAAATGCACAGTTCAATATATCAGCAGTAACTGTCTTGTGTGTAGGTTTGAACGAGTGCGTATCAGATTCAGCACACATCAAACAGTCCATTTCTTCAACATCTATGACATCAAAGTCAGGAATGCCGATTTTAAACTATTTCGGCAGACTGCTCTTATCTTGGATCGAACAATTCCTATGATTCATGTTAGACACTGATTTGAAATACTAAAATAATTTGGCCAGTTAGATGGGTTCTTTCTAATTCACTCACCGATGTTTGGGTGATTCAGAAACTTCATGATTCTCACTTCTCGGAGGAGCTGAGAAAACACAATAAAGAGAAGATTTGAGAAGATTGTAAGCCTTGACAATAAACTATTAACCTGATTCTTGTGATAATGCCAGATTCATTAAATTATACAGATAGTTTACCGAAAAAAATTGTCCCCAATGGGGACCAGCAACTGTTTGGTTACCCACATTCTTCAAAATGTCTTCTTTTGTGTTCAATGGAAGAAAGAACCTCAAACAGGTTTGGAACAACTTGAGGGTGAGTAAATGATGACAGTTTTCATTTTTGGATGAACTATCCCTATAAAGACTCGGGTCAATCCCATTTGAAGCTGGTTTGCTGGTCGTTCAGTCTGGTGTTATAGGGGTTTTTTGAGCAGTTAGTCAAAGTTTCTGAACACCAGCTTGGTCAGGCCGGCAGACAATCTATGACCAACAAAAGATTTTGGGTTGGTTTAAGCTATTTTAGGCAGGATTTACTAATAAATGAAGTGATAAACAATGAAAAAACTGTATCTGAAAATTTACTATTGTCTGTTTAATCGAACACAGATGTACTGTGGAAATCTGGGATTACATACAATGCTGTTCAAAAGTTTGAAAAAAGTATATATATTTTTTAAATAATAGGGTATGTATATCAAGACTACATTTATTTAATCAAAAAGTCAAAAACAGTAATATTGTCTTTATTTTAATAAATGTATCACTTCCGTTACATGATCCCTAAAAAAAAGATGTTAATTTAGTATTCAAGAAATCTTTTATCTTATTATTATTAGAAGTTGAAAATGGTTGTGCTGCTTAATGAAGTGTGGAGAGTGATCTTTCCAGGAGTCTTTGATTATCAAATTTTGAAGAACAGCATTCATTTGAAATATAAATTTTTTGTGCGTGTCGTCATTTTTGATCAATTTAATGCATCCTTTCTGAATAAAAGTATCTTTCAAAAAACAATTAATTCCAAAGAACCTTTCAGACCCCAAAAAATCCTATTTGTGAATGGTAGTGTATTAACATTTTACAGCACATGCATTGTTAAAATTTCACTAGCAGCAGGAACAATGCATTAACCTCATTTCTTTAATACCCTCCAGGATTCTGCAGTAGTCACAGCAAAAAGTTTATGGAACGTGACCAGTGTATATATGTGTGCGTGGGGGTAAAGCAGAACCCGTTCATTCCCACGTCAGAGGAAATCCTTCAGCCTCTCTTCCTGTAATTACCGCCTCTGAGCCCTCTCTCCAGACAGATATACAGATAAAAAGAGGAGATCTGCAGACTCACTTTCTGAAGACTAGAAGAGTTGAGTTGTGTCTTGTCTATGATTTTCACTGCTACCTGAGACAAAAGAAACACACACATATTAAACAGCTCTCTCAAAAATAAATGACCTTTTTCAAAAAGATTTTTTAAAATTCTAGAGTAACACTAGAAAGATGACTCTGAATGCTAACTGTGCTAGAGATATATTTGCATGTTTCTGCAACTTCAGGCACCAGAAGCATGCCCCAGGGGTTGCTTTTTATTAAACCTATCCCATTTCAACTTTTGCTTTTTGTTATACAAATATCACATTAAAATTGGCTTAAACACATTTCACAATGCCTTCCCTTATTTTTGTTACTTGTTGAAATAATTAAAAACCTTTTACATATTTATTGTTTTGAAAATGATTTCTATATATCCCTGTTCCACAGTTGCATCATTTTCAGCCAAAATATATTTTTATTTTATTTTTATTTAGCAAGGAGGAAATGGTATCACTGAAGAACATGCTTTGGAATGTTGAAACATGTAAAAAAAATTAAAGAGAAATTCATCTTAAATAATATTTTGCATATTTGATTACTTCTTTGTAGTCTGAATTTGAGCAAAAAAATCCAAACCACAAACATAGGTGATTTGAAATGAGATTCAGCATATCTGGAGCAAGTGCACGAACACTTTGTCTTAAGAACTAGTCTGACTAACTACTGACTAACCGCACTTTCTTTCTCAAATTAGACCAATTAAAATTTTTATGCAACTGACAAAGTTATGACCAGTCTTAAAAAAAAAATAGACTAACTTAATACTAGTCTAAGCAGTTTATGCAACAGGCTGGACTTGAATCACAGTCAGGCTAAATCTCAAACGGTCAAACCATGAAATAAGTGTATTATATGATGAAAGTATCTGCTATAAGACTAACTAGTATTTCGTTTTTAACTGTGCATTATCAATAACAATTTGGAATTGTCGGTTACATCTGTGTTAGGGTGCGTTCACACTTGGCATGTTTGGTTCGATTAAAACGAACCCTGGTGCGATTGCTCTGTTAGTGCGGTTCATTTGAGTAAGTGTAAACGCTGCCATCCGAACACTGGTGCACACTGTAAGGGAAACAGGTCGCTAAATCTCAAACGGTCAAACCATGAAATAAGTGTACTATATGATGAAAGTATCTGCTATAAGACTAACTAGTATTTTGTTTTTAACTGTGCATTATCAATAACAATTTGGAATTGTCGGTTACATCTGTGTTAGGGTGTGTTCACACTTGGCATGTTTGGTTCGATTAAAACGAACCCTGGTGCGATTGCTCTGTTAGTGTGGTTCACCAGGACCGCTGAAAAGATGGGTCTTGGTCCGCTTCCAAACAAACTCTGGTGCGGTTCGAATGATATATGAACGCAACATGGACCAAATACTTCTAAACGAACCAAAAACAGGAAGTAATGACAAGATGCGATGCTATGCAACATGATTTGACGACGTGGTGTAACCAAAACAAAATTAGCAGAGGGCAAACGTGGAGCTACGATGAGGTAAAGTGCCTCTTATGTGCTCCTTGTGAGTTTGCAGGTGGTGAAAATAAAATTATATGTACACGCAAGAATGAGCACGCTTAGTCCAGAGGACGGCATTAGGTGTGTTCGACTTAAAGGGGCGCTGAGCAGACCGTTCGGTTAATGGGTGCTTTGATATCATACACTCGCAGCGCCGCTTTAAGTCTAACGCACCTTTTGTTTGGGGTGTTCAATGAGTTCCGTCACGATATATACGTCATTCATGCCAACCAGTCAGGTTGTGAACGTATCACTATGCCTTTAGGTTCGGTGTCTTTAGGGCGCTGAGCAGACCGTTCGGTTAATGGGTGCTTTGATATCATACACTCGCAGCGCCGCTTTAAGTCTAACGCACCTTTTGTTTGGGGTGTTCAATGAGTTCCGTCACGATATATACGTCATTCATGCCAACCAGTCAGGTTGTGAACGTATCACTATGCCTTTAGGTTCGGTGTCTTTAGGTTCGCTGTCAAAAATGCCAATGTGAACGCTAAGCGGACCAGGATCAAATATATAATTTTCCTTTTTGGTCTGGACCAAATGAACCAAACAAACCGAACTACAAGTGTGAACACACACTTAAGAGGGAGCTGATATGCTGTAAAAAAACGATTTTTCAAAGTTGTAAATAAAACAAAGCTCATTAGAGTATGTTTTACAAGAAAATACTATTTCAGTCTTTCTACTTCAAAATTTCACATTTAGTTTGTTGCTTGCCATTACTTTGTGATTGTTGAAATTTACTTGTGAAAAGTAAATTTCACACAATTTTTTTTTCAGTGTAGTGAGTATTCACCTAACTAGATCCACTAAAAAAGGTAGATACACAGGAGATCTAGTTACCTCTTTAGAAGTGAGGACATGTCTGGCCAGTTTAACCTTGGCAAAGTTGCCCTTGCCGATGGTCTTCAGCAGTCTGTAATTTCCTATGTGGGGGTTTTCATCCACAGTCGGCACCACATTCCGACTACGTGACACACTGGGACGCCCTCCTCCTTTGGCATCAGAGTGGGTCTGACAGAGAGAAGGGATACAGGGATCAGAAAAATATTTCAGATGGCCACACTCGGATGACATTCAAATTCAACTACATTCTCCCACTCTCTCGCTTTCATACACACACAAACTCACACATGAGGATAAATGATTCAACCTCTGATTGAAGTGACTACCTGGCAATTGAGGGGTCAGAAGCAGATCAGTGAGCTTGAGTGATATGTGAGGTATGAACAGAATCACGGTTGAAATCTTGTATGTAACATGTCATTGTTGTGCTCTAGAGCACAGAAAGTGTAAAATAAGCATTTGAAGCAGCACTTGGTGTTTGTTAAGTAGAATCATTTGACAACCTTTGACTGTTGGTAAGAAGACTTTCTGTAGTTATGGAAGACAGAAGAGTTTACTACCGTTCAAACGTTTGGGTCAGTAAGGCTCTTTTTGAAGGAAATTAATATTTTTAATCAGCAAAGATGAAAGTAAAGACATTTATAATGCTACAAAATATTTCAATTTCAAATAAATGCTGTTCTTTTAAACTTTCTATTCAAAGAATCATGGTTTCCACAAAAAAATAAAATAAAGCAACAACTGATTCTGATTATCACAACTGATAATAATAAGAAATGCTGTGCTTACTGAGCACCAAATCAGCATATTAGAATGATTTCTGAAGGATCATGTGACACTAAAGACTACAGTAATGGCTGCTGAAAATTCAGCTTTGCCATTACAGGAATAAATCACACTTTAACATAATAAAAAGAAAACAGTCGTTTTCAATTGTAATAATATTTCCACAATATGTTTTTACTGTATTTTTTTATCAAATAAATGGAGCCTTGGTGAACATAAGAGACAAAACAAAAAAATCTCCAACTTTTACATGGTAGTGTGTAGTTGCTGTATTTGCTGGATAGCAAATGAACAGGAATAAGGGCTCAGAGAAACACATACATATTCAAACTCTGGGTCTGAAAATATGCATATTATGTAATGCATCACATGCACCATGTTAATTTATGATGTCCTTCAGCACTGGTGAACACTCTCAATGTCCTTTTATTCACTGACCCAGCACCGACCTTACACAGTTTTTTTTTTTATCATTACTACTATTGATCATACTAAGCATTAGGAAATGATGGACAGAAGTGGCAGGTCTGAGTAAATGACATAAGCCAGGCTTGAACTTGCATCGCCTACATTGCTTTTTTCTGCAGAACTCAAAAGATATTTTTTAAAAAATGCCTTAGTGTATTACAATTGAAATCAATGGTTACCACAGAAGAAGAAAAGTCAAACAGGTTAGGAATGACATGACAGTGAGTAAATGATGACAGAACTTTCATTTTTGGGTGAACCATCCCTTCAATAATGCTTATCAATAGAAGAAAATTATGTGACAAGAGAAAGGAAGATGCATCGGCACTGCAATTATAAAGCATTCTAGTGAATGAAAAATCATAATCTTATGAGACCTTGCTACAGTTTGGGACGTGTTCCTAAACACCCAACAGTCCCTTAACCCCACTAAATCGTCTCAACTCTCCCGTCCAAATCAAGATTAAATCCCAATTTCCCACGTTACCCCACTACACTGGAGAAACATACAGATTAGATTAGATTAGATTTGATTAGATTAGATTAAATCAGACGGGTCCATCTGCTAAAGCCGCAAATACACAAACAAACACACACACACACAAATATGCTGTGTGCTTCTCTATGTTTTCCCGTTTTCATTCCATCACAAACATAAGCGTGTTAACATTTACACAAGTAGTATCACACAGCATTTATCATTTTAATCTCTAACTTTACAGGAGTTTCTCAATTTTTGTACTCAAGCTAAAGCAGAGCTCATTAAAGGGAAAGTTCAATCATCAAGAGGGACCCAGCCAACTCCATGAGACCTGTGGTGCGATGCGTGTGTGTTGTGTGTGCGTGCAAACCACAGTTCACATATCCGAGCGCTGTACTTCATGACAGCTCCATCTTCAAAGACCAACCGATCAAAGTTCAAAGCCATAAATGTAATGCTTGACGTCAGTCCACTAACTGGTGCACACTCAGAGGTATGATTTTAAAAGAAGACGCTCTTTATTTCTTTACACGTTTCACATGATTCCAATTTTGAAAGAGGGGCAGCTCACAGGAAAGGCATGAGAAAAGCTGGATGTCTGAATGTGTGTGTTTATAGGTAAACTAAGCCAAGAGCAGTAGCAAAGGTCAGGGCATGGAAAGCTGGAGATTGACAGTGTGCTGACAGGATCAGAGGGGCAGGGAATTAAGGTATTAGAGGGCATGTGTGCAGGTATGGCTGGGGACTCAGATTTTAGACCTTGGTATAGCTTGTGTGTGTGCATAGTCATGTGAGCGCTGATACATACACTGTCATTCAGAAGTTTGGGATCAGTAAGATTTGTAATGTTTTTTTTAAAGAAGTCTCTTCTGCTCATAATGGTTGCATTTATTTGATCAGAAATACAGAAAAAACATAATATTGAGAAATATTGCAAATTAAAATAATGGTCTATTTTAATATACTTTAAAATGTAATTTATTCCTGTGATGCAGATCTGAATTTTCAGCATCATTACTCCAGTCTTCAGTGTCATATCATCCTTCAGAAATCATTCTAATATGCTGATTTATGATCAATATTGGAAACAGTTTTGCTGGTTAATATTTTTTTTGGAACCTGTGATACTTTTTTCAGGATTCTTTGATGAATAAAAAGATAAAAAGAACAGCATTTATTCAAATTAGAAATATTTTGTAACAATATACACTACTGTACACAGTACTGTTCAAAATATTTTGGGGTCAGTATTTTTTTTCTTTTTTTTTAAAGAAATGAATGCTTTTATTCAGCAAGGATGTGTTCAATTGATAAAAAAAGTTATAAAGATTTATATTGTTAGAAAATAATTCTATTAAGCAGCACAACTGTTTCCAACATTGATAATAAATCAGCATATTAGAATGATTTCTGAAGGATCATGTGCCACTGAAGACCTTGCATCACAGAAATAAATTATATTTTAAAATTATATTAAAATAGAAAACCATTATTTTAAATGGTAATAAAAAAAAATTCTGTATTTTTGGTCAAATAAATGCAGCCATGATGACCAGAAAAAAACTTCTGGTCATCACATTAAAAAAATCTTACTGATCCCAAACTTTTGAACAGCAGTTTACATAACGCAGAACTGATATCAGAGAAAGCCTTTGTCAATCATGGCCTCCTAATAATCACCAACCATTTGATTGGCTCTATGGCTTTCTCTCCTCTCCACCTGTAGCTGGTGTGTGGGGAGCGCACTGGCGCTGTTGTCCCGTGGCTGCCGTCGCATCATCCAAGTGGATGCTGCACATTGGTGGTGGTTGAGGAGAGACCCCCTCACATGATTGTAAAGCGCTTTGGGTGTACAACAATACACAAAGCGCTATATAAATGCATCATTCATTCATTCATTCATTCATTCATATCAAATTATCAATACATCACACATAAACAGCAATGAGACACTCTGCTACAATGTCACAATGCACTTTTACAATGGCACTCTGCTTTCTATCTAATATTTCTTCCTTATTAAGCAGAACTTCACGAGACCTGCCCCACCGCACATGCAAACATACTGAAAAAACAAGTGTATAAACAAGTATTATTTACCATTTAAAGTGTCCTTATTATGCTATTTGAAATGTTTATAATTTGGTTTTGGGAGTCCCCAACAACAGGTTTACATGCATGCAAGGTCAAATAACTAGGGCTGGGTATCGATTCAGATGTCCCGATTCGATTTGATTTCGATTTGCAAGCTCTTGATTCGATTCGATTCTCGATTTTTTGATTACATTCAGTGAACATAGTTTTAACACAAATGCTATTGATATTTCAAAAAAATTAACAGTAAACATCAGTTTACAAATGGTGAATTAATAAAAAGAAATTAAGAACCACATGCCTGTATTTTAAACATATACTTTTTTTACTTTTTTTATACTTTTTAAAAAAATAAAAATAGGGCCCTATAAAATGTTCTTAATTTTTCTGGTAATCAGATGAAGGCATAAAACATTAATTTAATTGATCCTAATCAAATGAAAAGTAAACCCTTTTATTTTTTTGGAAAACAAAGTGCTGCACAACAGAGGTTTACTGTTAAAATTAAAAAGAAAACAGATGTGATTATTCCTTTAAAAATAAAGATGTATTAATATTTATTAGCAGTAGTAGCATTGATTCTTAAGACTGCTAAATAGTAATATATTCAGACAGTAGAATGTTAAACTAAACTTTTATTTTGACGGGTTGCCGTGAAGAACTTGCAGCTGCTGTGTATGTGATATGACGGTAGATTTCTCAAATTAAATGATAAATGCTAATGAAGTGACTCTCAGAGCACCTGGAGATGACATTTGTGTTCATATCATCATATAGTGAGACGGTAGAAGCTGAAAACACCGCAAGCGTCATCCGCACTTTAGTATGTGTGTAGTAAACAAAACAGTGCGCCGCGCCATCCGCCATTCATGCATTGCGGAAATCATGGTGCCTTATGCGTGATATCAAATGCTTCCGCAGATTTATAGTATTACTATAGCATTTCACCTGAGCATTGCAAATCACGCGTATGGCCATGATAACATCGCGCAAGGTAAATAAGGGTGACATCTAGTGGAGAAGACTAATGATAAGATTCACGTTAATCAGATCTTGTTTTAAATGTGTGCTGAAATAAATACCGGAAAAGATAGATTCGCGGCTTTTGAGAATCGATATCGAATCGGCGTCATTTAAAAAACGATTAATCGTTTTTTTTTGCCCAGCCCTACAAATAACACTTTAATTTTCTTATAATATGCATTTAATTTTACGTTATTTCTCAACGACTCTCAAATGATTCGTTCGAAGATTCATCTTTCCAAACCACTCCTTTGCGTGAGGCTACTCTGCTCTGATTGGTCCGATGACCCAGTCTGTTGTGATTGGTCTACTGCGT